GAAGGGCTCAATAAAGATAAGGCATTGCTGTTGATATTATTCACAGTAAGAAGGGCTCAATAAAGATAAGGCATTGCTGTTGATATTATTCACAGATAAAGAAACTAAAACTTAAAAGTTCAATTACACATGCAACATTTGCTTTTTTAATAAAAATAAATTATGAGGAAGTAGTGATTTTGGACTCATATTCAGGTTTTCTTGACTTCAAACCCTATAATTTGGATTAACAATACAATATACAAATTCTTGCTTGTGCTAAAATATAGGGTAGAAATGAGGCTACATAAAATCTCAGTGGATTTTAAATTTTGGTTTGCTGGCCAAACAAACAAAAAGAAACAAATCAAGTTACCTTAAAATATTCACACAAAAGGACCCTAACAGTATGAGCTGTTTGGGATTAAGCAAATATTTTTCTGAGCATTAACTCATGAAAATAAGATATAAATTTAATCAAAATCATCAAAGACCACAAAAACACAAAAATAGCTTCAATGTAAATTATTTCTTTTTAATAATTAAAATCTCCATGTTTTAAAGTCTATATTTTAATTTGACAAGACTCAAGAAAATTCACATTTTTCTCTATTCTTACCCAAAAACTATCTATATAAGCTTGTTTCTTATTATGCAAACATTTTGAAAGCTATGCATACAAATAGCAATAAAAGTTAAGTGAGACATCTGTAAATTTGTACATAAAAACAAACACGGCATGTTTCCATTTTTACTTATCTTAAAATATATCTATCTTTTTTTTCCCTACTCATTTTCCCAAACCATAATTACCATGGAAACAGAACAGCAAATTAAATTGAAATACATGGCTTATGATGGTCACAATAAGATGAAACATCCCACAATTCAAATAGAATTATAGCAATTGCAAAGTACATCTACATATAATCTTCAGCTGAACCTTTTTAGCAAGGCTACCATCTACACTTCAGAGAAATCTCTCTCTCTCTGTAATCCCCATTATGCAGAGATGTCAGGCAAAGTATTATTTATCCTAAATTATCTAAATAATTATCTCAATTTTCTATTTTACTTTGGATATATAGATACAGTTTTATGATGCTAATTACTAAAATTTATATAGGAATGTTCCTTTTATTGTAAGATCCATAAAATGTAGAGATTGAAAGGAAAGACTAGATTATAAAGTAGAGTACTTTGCTTTAAATCATCTTTATATCTGACAAATTCTTATTCTAGACTATGGCTATTCAACTACTCTATAAAACCACCTTGCATAAAATGCTAAGCATATCAATTTAGAAGATATTTTAAAAATTATGTCACAAGGCTTTTAATATCTCGTCACAACTGATGTTCACTGAGCTTTTCTACAGACCTTTTTCCAAGGCCTCCACCTACTTTGGAGTCCTGGTGTGGTACTGCAGGATAATGTGCTGGACCATAAGTTCAGTTTGAATTGCAAGGTCAGTGGTTCAAACCCACCAGTCACTTCTCAGAAACCTTATACAGGGTCACTATGGGGAGGAATCAACTTAATGGCACGTAACAACAACCATCTACTTTTACCAATGGCACAAGACTCAGTTGCTTTGTTAGGGAGAACTCTATGCTCAAGACTTGAGATTTGAGTGGACTCTCCTCACATTTTCCAGAGATATCTGACATGTGTTTCCGATTACATATCTCCATTAATTTCCCCCCTGGACTACAGAATAATGCCTCCGTATGGAAAAAGAGCTCTTCACAAACTATGTTAACTCACCTTTTTTGCAACGTCCACTTGTAACACTCCATATAATGTTCCCTAGTTTATCAAACTGCTCATTGTTTTCTGGTCTAGAACTGCTCAGTCTACTGTATTTTGTTCCTTATTGAACAAAGTCATAGCACACTTTTTTCAACTTATTTTTGGCTTTTAGAAGGTTTTTTTTTT